GACTCGTGACTGTACTAACTACTATGTACGGCATCGGCTCTAGAGTGCCTAGTGTATCGCTCACGCAGCTTGATTGGCGCGATGCTTCAGAAGCCGGCCGCCTCGAAGCCGTCGTTCTCGTTTTGCACTGCCGGGAAGACACGCATTCTGAGGAGGCGAGGCGCGATGCCGATGTAGACGCTCTCCTGCCAGAGGTGCGCGACCTGAACCACGGGCACGACTTTCGCGCCCTCCAAGATGCGCGTCGTTGCGAGCTCCGTAACACTGCCAGTCCGGAAGGTGCCGTCCTCGGTCGCTATCTGTATGCGTGGTGCGATCGGCGAAACGCAGAGAGCTCCACGGTGGTGGCCGAGTCGGTGGGCGAGTCGGGCGACTCGAGGAGTGAGGGGCAGGGGACGGGCACCGCCGGAAAGTCCTCCATCAGCGTAAACAACTCGTTGATCTCTTCTTGCGCAGCCATCTTGTCGTCCTCAAATTCGGCTCGCGCTCGACATGCTGCTGGGCAATGTGTGGAATCGCGCCGTAGAGCTCTTCTGTGTGCATATCGGTTCCCTGGGCGTTCACTAGCGCTCGCTTGCCGTCAAAAGCGGGGGAAGAAGTATCCCGATCGCCACCGGGATGATTTCGGAAGTATCCCGATCGCCACCTGGATGATTCGTGAAGTATCCCGTTCGCCACCGGGATGATTTCGTACGAAAACATCCCGCCCTGAAACGGGCTACTTCTCCAAAATCATCCCGCCCGCGGGCTACTTGTGTGGGCTACGCGGTCCAGCGCGGACCCGCGGCGCGCTGTACGGGGAGGCCATCGAGGCGGATACCGATGCAATAGCGGCACAGCATGGGTCGGGCGGGTGTTGGGGCTCGACGTGCAGCGCACTTTTGGGCTCTCCTCGGGCACCAGGCAGCCGTGGCGAGGGGCTGTCACACCTGTCACCACCTAAACGCCAGCTTCAAAAAGCCGCAAGAATCCTATCCCTCGCGAGTAGAGACCACGCCTCACTTTTTCACACGCCTCCACCGCTTGCGAGCGAGCACCCAAATTTTTTTGCTTCGCATGCGGTGACCTCCCACGCGCTCCCTGGCCGCCCGCGCGACTCCTAGAGGACAGAGAACGTGGACGGACCCTCCCCGCGGCTGCTCGCGAGCGCTCGGTGGTCAATATCACCTCAACCACCCTCAGCGCGCGCGCGAGCGCGCTGCCACTCGGCCGCACGCGCACACACTTGTGCCTGTGCGGTGTGGACGCGCTCTCGACGCGCTCCTCTGACACACAGGCGTCCCACTAGGTGTCAGCTGGTCCTCGACACCGCTGACGTCGCCACTATCGCCATCTGCAAAGGCTCGCCCGCTTCGTCGCTGCGCTGCCTGGCGACGACGGCGCGGGCTCATGGCATCGTCCTCTGCGCTTCTCGGACTCCTGTTGCTCGTTCACGCCGGCGTCGCACAGCTCGGCATCGTCCGCGCCCGCAGCGAGTACGGCCTGACCGACGCCGACCTCCAAGGGCTGCCCCGCTCAGCGCATCCCGGCGCTGGCGTCGTGTTCTCCGTCTAGGATCTCGCTCGCGTCGCCATCCTCAAGGGGTACCGCAGCGGGTCGTGCGTATCAGCAGGGCCCGACATCTCGCGGGCCGAGACGCTCTTCCTTCCTGTCGGCATCATGACCACGGTCGGCGAGGTAAAAGCGATGATGCCGGGACGCGCAGTCCTCCTCGGGCGCCAGCCCGAGCTCTGGCTCCGGCCTGAGGAGCGGCGCGCTGGCGGGCCGAGCAGTGCGCCGCTGCACGGACCGGCACAGCGCATGTGCGAGTTTAGGGCCGACGGCTCCGCACGTGCCGATCAGTGCGATCACGTGACTGGTGTGGTTTCGTGCGTGACCGCGATCCCCGCGCGTGTGGACGGGGCAGTCAGGAGCGCGCTTCGCCGCAAACGCTCGCGCACACGATGCCATTTTGTGTACGTAAGCAGAAAAAAGGAACTCACATCGCCACAGCCAGCCAACGCTCGATCACTCTACCTCGGCTGCCGCCTTGGTTGCGCCGGCGCCCTTCCCACACGACGCGACGCGACCGCGGCCGCGTGCGTGCTCTCACTGACCTATCCCGCCCGCGCGTCCGCCTCTCACACCCGCGCCTCTCTCTCCCAGCCCAGGCGCCATCACAGGCACGGCCGCCGCCGCCCGCGCGGCACCTCCCGCCCCCCCTGACGCTGCTGGCCGCTCCCCGCCGCTGAGCCACGTGCGGTTCCAAACCTCGAGGTGGCGGCCATGCGAAGGGCCGTACAGGGCGTACACGATGTGCGCTGAGCAATCCGAGGCCGTCGGCATGCGCGTCGCAGTCCTCGCACGTGCTGTGCGCCATCGCGTTCCTAATCTTTGTCGCCGTCCTTCACTTTGATCACTGTGCCGGACGCGAGCTGCACCTTGTACCGGCCGGTCTGCGAGACACCGACTGGGAGTCAGGGAGTGACGAGCCACAGCGGAACCCGTCGGATCCGACAGATTTTTTTCGCCAACGGCGGCGGCTCAGGAGGGCGACGGGGCAGGGAAGGGGGCGGTGATGCGATGCGGCGAGGTCTAATCGGCGGCGTGGAGAGAGGAGGTGCCAAAAGGCGACTATAGAGAGGCCTCTACGGGTGATATAGTGCGCCATGCCGGCGGGAGAGATCTCTCTCACCGCCCCCCGGGCCGTCTCGAAGGGCCGTGCAGCCCACGCCACGAGGCGCTGCTGGCGGGAGCCTGGAAGGACTTGGCCTCGTTGCACCGCGCCGCGTTGATTCGCGACCACCGTCGGCCGCGGACGGCGTCGGCGTGGCGGCCGCGGGCGCTCGCGAGACGCGCCGCTCTGCGCTGGTACGATTCGTTCGACTCGTTGTGCCGCCGCACTCCCGGCGGCCGCGGGTCCCAGAAGTGGTTGCGCGGGCCTCTTCCTGGCGGCCGCGGGACGGCGTCGGGCACGTCGTCGGTCGCAACAGCGGCGCGGCGAGCCGCGGCACGTCGTTGCTGGCGCTTGTGGTTTGAGGTCGAAATAGTGCAGAGCAAGGTAGACGAGTCGAGACGCCGAGTGCCACATTGTGGCAAACAGGGAATTTCTTTCACTAGCAGGTTGGCTCGCTAGTCGCTCGCCGGGCCCGCGCAGCACGAGT